CCATATTAAACTAAAATAGAATATAAAAATCAGTTAACTTTTTTATTTTGTCATTGGCCCTAATCCTCTTCCGTACACACCTGTTAAGAGGAATACTTAACAAATAATACATGTATCTAAAATCACCTAATGTGTCAACAAATTCACACATAATTTGGAGGCAGACAAATCAAAGCATTAAAATGGTATCGAATTATTTCGGTATTCATGTGATGATTTTGCATTGCTTAGCAACAGCACAATGTGCATTTGTTTTTATTTTTCATTCTTTTCTTTGAATTTCCCTTGTGCCAAAGTACCAGATCAAGTTTCATCCATTTTTTCTTTGACCAAATCAAAACAAACACATTAAAGTAACAAAATACTAGCTAAAGATTATATCCTGTTGTTTACTTCTGGTCCTCAGAACACTTGCTCTTCTGACCTGAAGGGTTTCATTATTGGCAAGTACCTAAAAAATATATAAATACCACATGGTTATTTACAGACAGAGAATTTTAAAAGCTATCCTTTTAAAAAAATAGGATATTGAATCAGAAGATTGATTCTATAACTTCTGTAATACCTGTTATTGAACATGCATTTTAACAGCAGTGTTTTTGGAATAGCTTCAAGTACTTGTTTATTTATAGTGTTGTACATTCTTGCAGGTATCAAGCCTAAAATAAACCATTTTTCTTTGCCCTGTTTTAACAGAGATCCTCACAATTACAGTTTATAGTATTAACAATCAAAATTCAGGTATAAAAAATGATAAATGTCATTTTTTTCAAATTCTGTGCTGATAAGCTTTGATAAGAGTATTTGAATTCTCCTCTCTATCTTTGTGTTTTTGGGTACAATAAACAGATGGTTTCTACATTCTTCACCATAAATACAATAAAAGATGTAGAACACAAGGTAGACCATTTGCTAATCAAAATCTTATCAATTTTGCACATTAGTATACAATCCAACCCACTTTATACACAAAATGTGTAGGAATGATCAATTCAAATGCATAAAAGTTATTCACACATTTAATAATGAATTAAACGTATATATAAGTTCGATTCATCTATTTATACAATAAAATCAACATTCTTAGGTAAATAAACATACATATTCTTTTATTTATCTTACTGAGGTATTTATAATCTATTACGGTTTTATCTTAACTCCCACCTAGTGATGTATAAATAACCACGGCAGACATTTTCAGAGATTCTAACCAAGGGCATTTTTGCTGCAAGGCAACAGCATTAACCACTGTTGCAAATCACACATTTATTTTTTGTATGTATTTATGAACTAATGCACCTCAAAGTTACCATGCAAGATGTTGTTGCATGGGGAATATCTGGATTTTCAGATCTTTTAAACACCTCAGATTAGAACTTTTGCAGTATATGAACGTGTAAGTAAATATTTTTACCATGCAAATAAAAAAAATTAATGGTCGATGCATATCAGAAAAGTTGCAGTTTTCTCTCAAGTTGAGCTTCAAACTGTCTTGTTGTTTGGAAGGAGAAACAAAATAAAAGCAGGAAATTGAGAAATCATGCTCTCCAGGCTAAACACGAAAGCAGTGCTCACACAGTATCTACCTGTGCCAATATCTGAAATGCTTCAGGGGAAGCTCTCTATCTTTGAGTTTAAATGAAGTCTGAATAAACTGCTGTCTCATAGGCTGATAAATTTCCCTTTCTGGTAAGATTTTCATTATTTCAAAAAGTCCAACAGCTTTATGGCATGTTTCCTTTCAAACTAAGGAACAGAAACATGATACTTTAAAGATAACTGTTTCCTCTCACTTCCCAAATTATTGAAGAACAAGAACTAGGGAGAAACCGTTACAGGTATACAATGTAACTTGTAACTGGATATATATGAACATTTTTTCTGAACACCACTGCTATGCTATGTGCATTATTCTTCTGAGCATAAAGTGAGGACAGTTTTATATTGTTACTAAAGTTTTAGGTCTTCTGTTATGTATTTGAACCTAATCAGAAAAAAGATCCTTTAGCATTTTTTATCGGTGTCTGATGCTTGGAGATTAGAAGACATAATATATGTCACACAGTTTTTTCAGACCTAGGATCTGTTCTTGACTTTAAAGCTTGTAAAATAACTGATCCTATCTTTTCAGTGAACCCATCTTGTTCCCTAAATGGAACCTAAATAGACTGAACCATTAAAAAAAAATCAAGAATATTTAAATAAAAGCTTTATTTTGAAAGCATATGATAGCTTTTCAAAAACTAGAAGACTTTTTTCATCATATATTTGGTTCTGACTCCCAGGAATAGTTTAAAATGTTGGAAAGAAAAACTTTTATTAGAAAAAAAAACTGTAACCCTTATTTTGAAAGGCCACATTATTTCCCCTGTGGTTCTCAGGTTTAGAGATGTAGAATCTTCTTTTACAACAATATTACAATCTACAAATAAAGTATTTGTACTTTTGTAATGTATAAATCTATTCTATGCTTTTAGTTTGAAAGGCCAATCCAACCCCAGCTTTGTTTTTTTTCTCTGTAAAATCTACGATTATATTTTTGAATTATTTATTGAGACTTTTATTTTGAATAGAATGCCTTAGCTTTATTTGGTAAGTCAATATGAATATATTTTTTGCCCACTGGTTTAGACACATTAAGCAATAAAAACCCATAATACAACTACCAATATATAAAGGTCTGGGTCAATAAATTTGAATTAGCCTATTATTTAAAAATTGCATTTAATTGAGTCATTCTATTTTAAAAATATTAAGTTTTTGTTGTATTTTGAAGTATAACTACACGTTGATATATGTCGCGTTTTTGTTAATGCAGAATTTGATGGTTTTCAGCTAATGGATAGAGATAATCTGTTTCTTTGAATGTCAATATTAGAGAATTGTTTTTCAATAAAATTTGTAATATAAAACTGTTCATATATTAAAAACAAGTATGTATTGTATGAACTCAGTACATAGCTGGTGTTTCTTTTGCATGAATTGCTGCACTGGGATGATTAGCATGTAGCTTTACTGAGGTGTTTTGGAAGCCCAGGTTGCTTTTCACATTCTCTGCATTATCAGTTATGGTGTTTCCCACATTCCTCTTGATAAGACCACTGAATTTCTTTGGGATTAAAATCAGGGGATTTCAAGCATTGTGATATCAGGGTTATTAATGGCGGTATTATTGGTATTTGCTGAATGTGCTGGTTTCAAGCCTGGGTGGAAAATGTAATCAGCATCAAAGCTTGTTAGGAGATGGAAGCATTAAGTTGTCCTCATTAGATGGCATTAGAATTCAGAAAACATAGTGGACCGAGACAAGCAGATGACATGGGACACCAAACCATTACTGATTGTGGAAACTTCAAGTAACTTGGATTCTGTGCCTCTAAACCTTTCCTTAAACACTTAAGATTTCCAAATGAAAATTTAAGCTTTGGATTTCTGTAGCAGCCCTCTTTTGCTTCTTTTTTTTTTAACCAGGTAAGAACCTTTTGGCATCTCTTGTTCAGGAGGACCTCAACAAAACGAATGTGACAGTTTTAATTTATAACTGCAACATTACATATCCAACATTACATATTAAGTATGGGAAGGGCTTTGCTTTACAAACCTCTCAAAGGTGGGATTAGCCTTGTTGCTGTACAATTGTTAAACACACACATTTTTTTTCCCCTTCGGCTTAACTTCCTATTAATATGATTGGACAGAACCCTCTGAACTGCCAGCTTCTGCCAGTTTGACAGCAGTTCAATCAGCAATTTCCCAGAAGATTGTGTAGCCCATAAAGCAACCTTAACATCTCTGAACTAAAAAATCCATTCTTGCTGGACTTATGTCAAATTAAGGTTTTTGAGAAACTAAATGTTTAAATTTTCATTAGTGGTAAGCCACAATTATCTAACATATTGATGCACATTTGAAATATGTCATCTTTGTACAGTCAACTAATAAAATCCACTACTTCACTGGAAAAACGATCTAGAAATAAGTTAAACATTTTTAAATTAAGTGTATTTACCCTTAATTTGAGAAGGTAAATTAGATAATTTGCCAATGGAATGAGTATTTTTACTCTTAAAATAAAATAACCAGATAATATTCACTTGAAATAAGACAATGCAATTGTGTTTTCTTATTTTAAATCTAAATAGCCTTGTACCATTGGCAAAGTGTCTCTTTTATCTTCTCAATTCAAGAACAAATGCACTTATTTTGAGAGAAAAAAAGACTTTTTTCCAGAGTTGAGTTTCAGAACCAAATCTAGACTTCACTTATTTAATTTTCAGCTGCACCTAAAAAGACTAACACTTTTTTTGAAGATAATTTTGTAAACTTTAAGTAAAAAATGACAAATGCAAAATTTCCTCATCATGGGGTAAACATAACAATAAATTAATAAATAAATACATAATAATAATATTCAGGTAAGAAAAGGGCATGGCTTTCCCCATATTTATCAAACACACTTATTTAATCATAATGAAGTAGGCACATTACCCTATTTACAAACATTCAATAAATTGAACATTGTACAAAGACACTTAAGAGTCCATTGTTCACAGTTTGATACCAATCTGTAGAGATGGAGAGAAGGCAGAAATGTCAAATATGAGGGTAAAACACATGTAAGCACCATCAGATGTATTAAGTTAGTGTTAAATAATACTGTCAAAGAGACTCGTCAGGCACTCATGCTTCTGTAGAGATGGTATGCTGATGACGATCCTGTCGCATTGATTTACAGCCAGTATACCACAGGGCAGATTGTAACTTTTCTGATGAAGCTGAATTTTACAGGCATGGCTGACAAGAGAAGTGTCAACGCATCACATAGCAGAACAGATACAAATGCAGGCAAGTCAAATGGGTAAGACACAAAATCAGAGGTACACCTACAGTTTGAGAGAATGAGAACAATCACAGTCAATAATCAGCAACAAGATGATGGTTGGTCATAAATCTGAAAGAGATTCTGGAGCAAAAGGCAGACTTTGTGCAGAGTTCAGTTTTTGCGGAGATCAGTTTAACCTGGAGGATTTTTCTCAGTCTTGATGAGTGGAAGAAGTTGCAGATAAAGTAAGTAAAATTAGTCTTTTAGCTGCTCCGGTGTAGATCTTTGCAGTCTGTGGCGTGTTTGTAGGTTCAGTAGCAGCTCACCAGCCAGAGAAAGGCTCAGACAGGGAAACAATGGGCTCAGATAGGGGTCTGTTATATGTGTCAGCCGGCTCAGAGTTGCTGTGGCACTATGATTGGTCTTAGAGGCAGTTGGTAACAGCTGGATACATGCAGATAAAGCAAAGGCTAGCACCATTTTATGAGAAAGTTTTACGTTATTCCCCTTAAGTCTGTAAAGAAAGTGGAGGCTTTGTAGGGACACGTCTTCCACCAAAAGGCACCAGATGAGAACATGCTGAAGCCGCTGTGTAAAGAGGTTGGGAGATCTTCCTCGTGTCATTCCTGACCGGTTTTCCTCTTCTCAAGTGTTATTTTGAGCTCCTCATTTAAGGCTGCAAACAGACAGAAACACTCTGAGGCTGAATAACGTCTGACTGAATGCTGCAGGTACAGCTGACATACTGTGGTACTCACACTGTGTGAGAGGTGAAGGGGACAAGATGAGCCGTCTCATTGGGTTGGTGGGCGACGCCGGCACCGGAGAGCTCAGGATACGACGGTCTGTGGCCGGGGACCGGGATAAAGGGCTAGAGCACCAACGATCTATGCAAATAAAAAAAAGGCAAACAAGGGGAATATGAGCGCAGTCCATCTCTGTCTGTGTGGAGACTTCAGTGGCTGAGACAAACCTTGTTTTGGAGGCAGAGCGGGGACCTTAGGCAGGGGGCCAGAGGGGGCAGTATGGAGGATCTTCTCTCCATTTTCATCATTAGCAGAAACATATGCTATTTAAAAAAAATATATATATATATAACTTGTTTAATCCATAGATCCCTTTAGAAACATGTATAAAAGGAATGACGGATATTTTATATTTCTGTGTGTTTTCTCACTGATATTCTCCTCGTACGGCTCCTCCAGAAGGAACGGCTGCAGAGTACCTGCCGTTTTCTCTACCAAGGCGTCGATGACATCATGTAATGTTGCACAGGGAATCTGCAGCAGGAAGTGACGTTTCTCATTTTTCACAAATCTTTCTCAAAAGCAAACGGGCCAAAATGCATAAATCTAGAACACCCTGATTAATGGAAAGATGTGGGGATAAAAATCACAGAATATTAGAGCTTTTAAATAAAAGTGAAGGTTATGGATATTGTCTTTCGAATTTAAATCATTATTCTTCTGAGAAAACAAATAACAGATAATTGCTCATTATTTGCTGTACCAGATGTACCCAGATCAACCCCCCAAAAAGACCACATTCTTAGCAGTAGTGACTTAACAATAATGATTGTTTATTATTTATATTCAATTTCAAAAAGCAAATTTTCCACCTTCTTCAAATGTTGAATTTCAATTTAAAGAATCTAATTGATTTATAATTAAAAGATCAAATTAAATCTGATATTATTGTAATTTTTGATAAACAAATAAAAAACTGGTTAAGGGCCCTAAGTAGTGGTTCAGTTTACTCATTCTTTGCTCCGGCACCGCCTATCAATCCATAGTCAATCCACTTTAACCTAAATCATTACAAGGGGATGATTTAGGTTAAAGTAAACTCAAATGTTCTGTGAATCCTATTGAGACTCTGGTGCAAGACCTGAAATGTAACATTCCAACTGATAGGAAAAAGCTTTAGCCATTTTGCAAAGGATAACTTAGAAATATGGAGCATCTGGACAGAGTTCAGACTTTAAAACATGCTCACTGGCCACTTTAATAGGTGCATCTTGTTAGCATCGGATTGAACCCCCTTGTACCTTAGAAACTGCCTTAAACCTTTGTGGCATAGTTTCAACAATGTACTGGAGGCATTCCTCATTGAATTTGGTCCACACTGACATCATAGCGTACGGCATATACTGCAGATTTGTTGGCTGAAGATTCATGATGCAAATCTCTGGTTCGAACAAATCGTAAAGCAGGGCATACACTCTGCAATATTTTCAATCGTTGCACGAAGCTACAGCTCAAATTGTATGAAACCGCAGGGTTTAAAATTTCACAGCTCAAGAAGCATGTTCTGCGGCCCGACGCTCTGATGCGACCTTACGACAGCCGACTGAATTTCAAACATGTTCAAACATTTTCTCCTGACCTTATGATTTCAGATCGGGAGGTGGTCGTGAGAGGCTAATCGTCCCTCGTTACCCCCTGTACACTACACGACGCACGATCAGGCTGAAAGTCAGCCCTATCAAAAAATTCTCGCACAACTTGGCCTGAAAATGGCAAAAAAAAATGTACAGTGTATGCCCGGCTCAAAGGGGTTCAAATGGATTAAGTTGCAGTGACTTTGGAGGCCATCCAAGTGCAGTGAACTTTAATCTACACTAAAATGTTATCTTCAAAAAAACAGTTTCTGATGATTCACATCCTACTGGGAGTAGCCATCAGAAGATGGGTACATTGTGGTCATAATTGATAGATATGGTCAGCAACAATGTTAAGGAAGGTTGTGGCATTAACACAATGTTCAGTTGGGCCCAAAATGTGTCCAGAAAATGTCCCCCACACCATGAAACCAGCAGCAGCCTGAACCCGCGCTACAAGTCAGGAAGGATCCATGCTTTCATGTTGCTGATAGCAAATTCTGACTCTACTATCTGAATGTTGCAGCAGAAATGGAGACTCATCAGACCAGGCAATGTTTTTTTCCCTACATCTATTGTCCATTTATGAAGAGCCTGTATAAATTTTAGCTTCAGTTTCCTGTCCCTAGCTGACAGTAGTGGCACCAGGTCTGGTCTTCTGCTGCTGTAGCTCATCCACCTCAAGTTTCAGCGTGTTCAGAGATGCTCTTCTGCATACCTTGGCTGTAACGAATGGTTTTTTGAATTACGGACACTTTCTCTCCGCTCCAACCAGTCTGGCCGTTGTTTTCTGACCTCTTGCTTCAGCTAGGCATTTGCGTCAACAAAACTGCTGCTCACTGCATACTTTCTCTTTTGCAGAGAATTTTCTGTAAACCATAGAGATTTTTTGTGCGCGTAAATTCTTAGTAGATTAGCGGTTTATGAAATACTCCAACCAGCCCATATGGTATCAACAACCAGGCCACATTCAAAGTCACTTAAATCACTTTTATTCCCCATCCTGGTGCTCAGTTTGAACTGTTGCAGATTGTCTTGACCATGTCTACATACATGCCTAAATGCATTTAACTTGTTGCCATATAATTGGCTGATTAGATATTTGCGTTAACAAGCCATTGAACACCTAATAAAGTGGCCAGTGAATTTATCATTGCAGTGGAAGCTGGTTCTGCAAAGTATTGTTTTAAAAGGGCTAAACAATAATAGGTACTTTGTTTATTTGTTAAGCAAAGACAACAGTGGCAGTCCTAGGGTGTTTGGCTGTTAGGTGACAAAATGCAAAGAAACGTTCCTAATTTTAATCTACCCCTTCTCTACAGAGTTGCATTTAACAGAAAGCATTGACAGCTGGTGAAACCTCTTTTCAGCCTGCCGCTTCCAGTGTTGGAGGTGCAAATAGTTCACTTATGAAACTGCAACCACTGCAAGGTAAACCTAAAATGTCTCTCTACGGTCTAAAATCACTTGTTAAACAATAACTTAGGAATCTCTCACTTCTCCAAAGTGGGAGATTAAAAACGTTACAATGTGAGGCCTGACATTTTGCTGCTTCAAGCTAACCACAGTATGAACATAAATAACTGTTGCACTGCAACATTGTAATGATATTCTTTCCACAGGGGCTGACTTTACTTCTTATGTAACTGCTCATCTCCCATATAAATCTTCACAGCGGGATTTAGCCTCTGTAGAGCCTATCTATTTATAATGTGATTAGGCAGTTACTAAGACACCAGTGAAGCCTATTATCCATAAATGCATACATTCCTAATCGGACTTTACATTAAAATATAAAGAGAAACATTGCTGAGATTTTCATGGACGGCTGTGGTTTCTCTAAAAGCTTGAAAAAGGGAGAGTGGAGGTTTCTCCAGCTGTATAAAGTGTATACTGATGCAGCGCCGGCATCTTCATAAGCTTGTAAACACTGCTGGTCAGCTGGCTGAAAGAGGGCCCAATGCATCACCTCATTTACAACAGAAAAATATGGTTGTTTTAGGATATTTCTACTGGGATAACAAAGCAGCTGACCGCAGGGCTATCTGATTGATCAGATAGTCCTGCTACCTAACTAACTAACCAACTTATGCGTTGTAAATTGGATCTATACACTGAAAAAAGATCTAGAAATAAGTTATTATTTCTTAAATTAAGTGTAGTTACCCTTAATTTGAGTGGGTAATTGAGATAGTTTGCCAATGGAATTATTATTTTTAATCTTAAAATAAGATAATTAGATAAAATGGAGTTGAAATATGTCCACTTGAAATGTTTGTTTGTGTTTTCTTGTTTTAAGTGTAAATTGTCTTGTTCAATTGGCAAAAGGTTTCTTTTACTTCCTCAATCCAAGAACAAATGCATTTATTTTAAGAAATAAATTTTTTCCAGTGTATGAATAATCTGAATTGACTTGAACTGTAAACATTTTGTAAACATAAACATTTCTCTTTGGTTTAAATTGTAACTCTTGTAACGTTTTCCATCATGTTCTAATTTTTATCACGNATTAGGCAGTTACTAAGACACCAGTGAAGCCTATTATCCATAAATGCATACATTCCTAATCGGACTTTACATTAAAATATAAAGAGAAACATAGCTGAGATTTTCATGGACGGCTGTGGTTTCTCTAAAAGCTTGAAAAAGGGAGAGTGGAGGTTTCTCCAGCTGTATAAAGTGTATACTAATGCAGCACCAGCATCTTCATAAGCCTCTAAACACTGCTGGTCAGCTGGCTGAAAGAGGGTCCAATGCATCACCTCATTTACAACAGAAAAATATGGTTGTTTTAGGATATTTCTACTGGAATAACCAAGCCCACCTAACTAACTAACTAACTAACTAACTAACTAACTAACTAACTAACTTACTACTAACTAACTAACTAACTAACTAACTAACTAACTAACTAACTAACTTACTTACTTACTTCAGTTTGCTGTACCTTTGTTTAGTGAGGCACAGAGAAAACAACCCGTTACTAAAATCAGACAATTTATTACTAGAGAAGTGTTTAAAAATTATGTCTGAGAACTCATAGGCAGTGAAAGAATACACAACGGAAGAAACATTTTTTTCTGCTAAAGTTAAAAAACAGAAAGTTCAGCGAAAACAGAAAGTGTTTACAAAATCTCTGATCACTTCATCTTTATGACAAAGAATGGGAAGGATCACTGGTTTTGAGCAGAGGGGGGAATCAGAAGGATGCAAATCTACAGTTAAGGACGCTGTCCTCATGATTTTCACCAAATTGCATGCATTGTTGCCCCCTCCATTTGCTATCCACTGCTAAAAGAGAGTTTTTCCTCTCCACTGTCGCTACAAGCATGCTTTACAGTGAGTCAATGAAATCAACTGGTTTTCCTTAGATAGAAATATTTTGAATCAGTTTGACTGTACGTTCTGGTTGAATGTTTGTGTAAAGTGCCTTGTGATGACATGTGTTGCGAATTGGTTCTATATGAATAAACTTAATTGACTTGAACTGTAAACATTTTGTAAACATAAACATTTCTCTTTGGTTTAAATTGTGACTCGTGTAACATTTTCCATCATGTTCTAATTTTTATCACGTAAATAAAGTTAAGTAACTTCAAAAAGTAGCCCAAAAATATTGGCAGTACATCAAGGATCGGCTAGATTGATTTTAAAAGGTGTTAAAAAACCTGCTGTTCCAAGGGGACTGCAGAGAGAAGAGGCTTCGCAGTATTCGATGCAGGACCAGGAGGTTCTGTAACAGCTTTTTCCCCACATAAGACTGTTGAACTGTTAAAGACTCTAATCAAGTCACATATTGAGACGCTGCATCACACTGATTACATCATACTTGTTGCAACTCAACTCATTGTTTCTACTGCATTTTGCACCATATCTATCTATTTATTTTTGCACTGCGCTGAATCTTCCACATCAATACCTTTTGCACCATGTCTCTCCTATACTGTTTAGATTTTGATCACTGCTGCACTTTATGAATCGAAATGTTAATTTCATTGCTAAGCTGCTGCTCATTCAGTGCTGGAAAGCTGTAACGAAATTTGATTTTGTACACATTCTGTGAATACAAATGAAACAGTTTATCTAAGTTTAAAAAAAAAAAAATATCAGCATCAGCTGATTGATCTCTACTTCTAATGATACTTTGATCAATAACTCCTCTTAATCTAAAAACTGTAATTTAGTCGGATTTTTCACTACACATTAGCATCCCATGCTAAAAAAAATGGATTCACACTTACAGGATTTTCCACATCTATAACATAGCCACCTTGGTCCCTCTGTGTGACTCTGTAATGTCTGAACACTGACCTGGAAGATATGGGGAAAATAAAGGGAGGCTTTCAGGTAGATGTGGTGACAGGAATGAATTTTTGTCCCTTCTCCTGCCGTTTGGTTTTCATTTACCCATTGAGGTCCTGTCGGGTAGTGACAGCCAGCGAGCATCCGTCCCGACCTGGGCGGAGGAGCATGTTGCCACAGTCAGGGTGTCTCTCCAACAGGACCTCAGCTTCTGTGCGTGAAACTGGACGAAAACACCTGTGAATTAAAAGCATCAGTGCTGATGAAAAGCAAAATAAAATCTGTTTGGTGCCAATCAGTGAAGGAGAACTCACGCTGGGATCTCTCCCACTAAAGGAACAGAGAGGGGCGAAGGAGGAGCTCGTCCTGGGTTACGATTTCTCCTTCTGGTCCTTTCCTTTTCTACCACCTCCTTCAACATTTGGAGCTGCCCTGGCAGTAACGTCAGACTAGAGGGGACATTCAGCTACAATCCAAAAGAACGGAATATTTGCATTATGGCACAAGATAAAAAGGTTATAGTAAAGAGTTGCTGGAGGTTAATATTTACCTCTATAACGGAGTAGAGGAAACCTTTCCACAGCTCTCTGGCCTCTAAGTTTGGTGCCTGGGGGAGAGAACCACATCTAAACCTCAAAAAGATACTCCACCTCCAAAAAGACACAACAACACCATATAAGTATGTGATTTGAAAGGCTCACTGTGAGTTTGGTCTCCCCATCCTTCATGCGGAGGATGAGCCTGGCTGCCTCTAGGTTTCTGTCACGGCTGCTGTCATCTTTGAGGGACACAAATCCGCAGAGATCCAGCTTCTCCACATACTGACCCATAAAAACACGTTTTAGTGTCAGACACCAGAAAACACTGATGACACTCGGAGGGTGAAGCAGAGTTAAACTTACATGAGCGTCCTTGGTATTATTGAAGAAATACAGAGAGTTTCCACAAAGGCATGTCCAAAGCCTTCTGGAAGCCTGTCAGACACGGTTAAATGTAAATTGAAAAAAACAAAAACAACCTTGAAACAGATTCATATTCTATATCTGTAAAATTATATCAAACAGAAAAAAGTTGATCAGAGAGTCTACAAAGGTTCACTGAGAAATCCATTACTTTCTCTAATGCAGGTTTAAATTCTTCAGCTATTTTAGGCAGAACCAATACCTTATTTATCCAACAAATACACAGAGTGAGTATTTTAATAAAGGAGGTACACAAAAACATTCATTGCTTACTTTTGTCAAACTACAACAAAGAGAGGCATCATTTAGACATTAAATAACAATAATGATTGAATGTCATCTACTTTTTACAACTAATTTTTCACATTCTTTACCATAAACCTTTATTTTAATTGGGAAATCCAATCTGGGGAATCACAAGAGAATCTGGTCAAGACTGGCAAAAATAAATAGTTTAGAAAACATTCACAACAAAACATTTTTTGTTTAATGCCATCATAAATAAAATAGCAGAAAATCTTTAGAATTTTAGAACAAATAAATCAAATCCTTCTCAAAAATCATTAAAAGCTGCCTCAAAAACATTTAGGGCAGATAACACTTTTAATTTCCATTCAAATAGAGCAGAATAGTGAACATTTTTATTTCCAAGTTCAGTTTGGACTTCATGCAAGAAAAGTTAAAAGTAATTTCCCACATTGTTGTTATATTCTCTGATCGCACTTTTTAGGGTGACAAATTCTACAAGGACTTAAACTGGAGTCCTGAGCTTTGATCTGATTTTGGGCAAACTTAGTTTTGCATGGACCAAAGGAATTCTAAGAAAGGGACCTCATAGCTGTTAAGTAAAGTAGAAGATCTGTGATGCTGTGGGATTTTTCCTTTTCCAAAGCGCAATTATTAATAATTTTAACGCAGTCAATTAAATTAAATGATCACTCAACAGGATAATGATCCAGAATACATCCAGTGAACACAAATATGACACCCACTTAAAAAAAAAACAAAAAACTGCATTTCTCATTTCACCCTCTTCATTCCTTCATAAATGGCTGAGAACTTACATGATAAGAAGAAAGATCAATGCAAAATGTTAACGTAGACTTTTATCTGCAAAAGAGTCTTTTACAAATTATTCTCAGTGGCTCATTGAATATATTAACCACCTACACCCCCCCAGCTTAAAACATATTTTAAGCTGAAAGCTTTTAAGACACATTTACCCTGGATGCCAATAAATGTGAGCAGCTGTGTAATGGATATTTCCTATCTCCTGTCCCAAGAGGAAGATAGTTAAAGGGAGTCTCAGCTGCTGCCAATCAGGGACTGTGAGTATCCTGCACCTGAGCCAGTCTCAAATTGCATGTCTGTATTGCATTAAAATGAACCTAACCAGTATTTATTTATTTTTAATCACCACGTTTTAGTGCATTGCACATTTTGTACAATTTAAAAGAAGCAGCACAGGGATTACAGACGATCTATATCTAAATGAATATGTATTGCATTATTTGTTATGGGAAATAAGGATGGGCAGGCATTCGATGACAGCCGGTTTTGCAGATCAGAGCGTTTCCCTCTATTTCCGTGTGATTTTTCTACCATAATCTCAGCTGTTTCGTAGAAAACGAAATGCCTCGCCCTTTCCGCACAATAAGGAAGTTGACAGCTACCAGGGAATGGAGGATCGGCTCACGCACATCCCGCACCGAGGTCTGATCCCTGACAGCCCGCAGCATGCCCCCCAGAGGAGGGAGGGATGGAGGGGTGTGGTGGACCGGACCTACCTTCTCCTTCGGTCCTCGCTTCTCCAGGTATCCCTCGAAGTAGCAGGGTGGGAGCTGGGAGCGGGCTCCCCCCGATCCGAGGCGCTGCCTGACGGGTGCAGCCGCCATGAGTGTCGCAGGCTGGGCAATGACAGAGGACAAAGGGGCTCTGAGTAATTCGGGGATTGACACGCCTTCCCCGATGAGATAGAGAGACAAGCACCCAACAGCTGGGGTGATGCAGGCTGCTGTCTCTGGGGGGCCATGCAGTCAGAGGTAGGGTTGACCACCCAAATAAATAAAACAAACACATTGTGGGATGATATCCACTTTATTATTAGATACATATAAGTAGCATTATGGTTAATAACACCAACAGCTAAATGACCAATTTTCTTAAAATAATAAAACTACTCTCTGAGGGGAAACAAATATTTACCATTTATTGGAGAGAAAGAACAGAATCCATTCATGGACAATAAAAACACACAAGATTACACTTCAACTGGTATGGAGGTAATCCACACATTTTGGAGATAATCCAGGATAATCCCACATTTACCCTTCCCAAAGCATCACAGTTACAGAAACAAGTACTGATTAATTCCGAAGCTTTCTACAAAGATACATACACACAAGAAAATGATCATCTTTCATAGAACATGTGCATAATGAAATAATGCTTTAAAGCTGGTAATACTTAAATTGCAAAACTGATCATGTCTGCTGAATCGCCCACAATAACTGATCTTAGCCCTTTGTTCTATGACATCATTTGTCATCTAGATGATCCAAGCTGAGCTGAAGACCTTCTGCCTCCTCACGGGGTTTTGGTTTAGTTTAATGAGGCATGTAAAGCCACACCTGAACCACAGATCGAGGGTCCTAAACATACTGCTAATAACAGACACATTAAGAGGTCTGCAGAAGGACAGGCAGGGTGGATGTAATATAAAGTATGCATACGGAATTGAGCATGAGAGGCATCGTGGGTTTGGGACGGGACAGATAATGAGGAAGGGGGCAGGTGCTGAATAGAGTGGTGGGGGAGGGCATAATCCACCGCTGTGTCCCCTTCTCTGCAGAAAAAGACCTGTCTGTTCCACTTGCACTTTAAATAGAGATGGCAAAGATGAGCGGGGCAGGGGGCAGTCTAACAAGGGGATCATGAGAAGAGGAGAAAGTTGGCATTTTAACAAACAGCACAGACCGTGACAGTTCACAGTCTGCTTGTAATAGGCTTAACTGGAACTGAAACCAGCAATTGTGGAAAGATCTTCCTTGTTATTTGGAAACTGCGTGCACAATCACAGGCAGATAAAATCCTCCGTCAGCTCTGGTGCACAGTTTAGGTCTGAAAGCAGAGGCAGGTACAGCAACGCCAAGCTCACATCACCATACATTTCCATGCTCCAAATCAAAGCCAAGCCTACACAAAGCTGAGGAGTAAGAACACATCATAGATAGAAAATTCACAAACGCACAAAAAAAAAGAAAAAAAAAAAAAAAAAGAGAGCAATGAAAAACTTCAGTGACGCTGCCAGCAGCATCAGTTGAGCCTGAGAAAATAAAGGAACATAACGCAATCAAGTCGGCTTTGGTGAAATTACTCATTATATAGACTAGATCTAAATGGTCTCCATATTTTACGGCAACTTCAAATTAGTCTGGATAGAATACGACCATCTGCTCTAACATCAGATGTTATCTATATGTGAGCAAACACGCCTTATCATTTTCAATTAGAATAGGAGCGTTTTTAGATAATTTATTATTCATGTTTCAATATAGCAACTATCGATCATCATAGTGCTTTAGGTTTGTGTCTGCAAGTTGGATTTCCAAGTTCCCAGGAAATAAAACTAGACCGCTACATGAAGCTGGAAGGCCCAGAGCAGCCCTGGATTCTGCATCCAACATGGCTGCCGCTCATCTGAACTACAATTGAAGTTGTCAGCATATGTTTTATTTCTAACCTTTTGTTTTCATTTCAATCAGTGACACTAATTAGTTAACAAGTTCCTCTAAGGCATGGAACACAAACAACTGAGATAAAGTCTTTGTCATTAGCTTGTATTGCAAATATTAGCACCAAAACCGGTTTTCAAACCTGCAGCTAAAAGCTACTCAGCTCATGAGAAGTTTCTCAGATCTAACCCCTGACTTCCAAGACAAGCTTAAGCATCGTTAGTGTGATAAATGTAATAGTGTCATCAGAGAGCATTTCTTTTTTATGCTAAAATATCCCACATGGACTGCTTAAATATCTCAGATTTATTACTTAATCACAGATCCAAAGCCAGGAATGACCCCTCACATAGAACCACCAGATGGCAGTATAAGATAGCCTCATAGGTCTAGTAATGTCAAACACTCCCTGTAGTGTCTTCTTTGTTAGTGCTCAAGTGTGCAGACAAAGAGGTTAAAACAGAAACATAAAAAAAAGCCAAAATGATTTTGTGTGGTTCCAATATTCACATACACAGGAGATGCTCTGGATAAATCAAAGAACGTCATCATACCCTGATGCATATCTATCAGGTTTCTTTCTGTTTAGTGTTCAGCTGGAGCTGCTATGTACAAAGTGCAGAGGTGCAGATTTATTGTTTATAAAGACTCAGGATATTACAAATGCACCTGGAAAATATGCATCACTTTTCTCATTGACCCACCAATTGTCCATAGTGTCATGTTTGCAAACTAATTCAACCTTGATAGAAAATAAGTCTCTCCTTTTTCCTCAATAGATCCAAAACATACAGAAAAAATATTTCATTTCTTTGTCACTTTTATCATGTAATGATAAGATATCTTTCAACCTTCATCTTCCCCCATTCTGCTTCATTCTGATGTTTTCTTATTGCCGTCCTTGCGTTAGTGTTGTAGGGGCACAATTACTTCCACATAGTTGTTGGGAAAGAACCCAGATTCTCCGCGAAGTCTTCCTTCGAACCAGTTCTCGTCGATTTGCCTGACCAGCGTGATGATGTCCCCCTCCTCGAAGCCCAGCTCTCCTTCGTTTTCTGGCACAAAGTCATACAGGGCTTTGCAGCACGGCTCTCCTAAGCAAAGACATCGACGGAAGATCAGAGATGCAAGCAGGGAAATAGAAAACAAACAGTCCAGCTATTAAAATATGGATGTAAATGTCGATCAGAAGTTTACATCCCCATATTATCTGCCTTAAAGCTTTTCATCATTTGGAAATTTTCTCTCATCCACAAAGACTCCAACATGTGGTTACAGATTCTTCCATTCCTTTGGTTTCGAGTTCAAGCCCCACTCCCACAGACTGCCATTCTGGTTTTCTGAGCAAGACCCTTAACCCCACACGGCTCACCGTGCGCCCCACGATGGCAGCCCACTGCTCCCCAAGGGGATGGGCTAAATGCGGAGGTAAATTTCTCCAATGTGAGATCAATAAAGTTTAATTATAATTATTGTTATTATACACATTTATCCCTACCTGATGTTGATTCGAGATTATTTAAGAGTCACATCTAATAGAAAATAACCCACTTAAATGAACTCTTCCAAAAAGGCTGGTTAAAATATCAAACCAGAATCATGCTTGTTGAAGTGTGTACTTTTTAGGGTAATTTATCTAGAAAATAAATTCTGGATTTAATTCAGAATTGGGGACCTGAATTAATGCATTCAAATGATTGCTGTATAACTAATATACCAGCAGAAAAACAACAAAGTAAGTCAGTATAAGGGTGAAAATCATGGCAGTAATGGATGGATGTAAACTTCTGACCCTTTCCCCTTAACTGAAGTGGAAGAAACTTTTTCAATAAACGTCGACACAAGGTGTCACTAGAGTAACATTTAAAAGGCGTCCAACAAAACATCAACTTAAGGTATTAAACAGAAAGAGAAATGTTGTGACTTATTAGTTATTAGATTAAAAACAAAGAAGCTCAAAGTCAGAACACCAATGTGATAAACACTTTTAAAGAAAAAAGATTTATTTGGAGTATTAGAAACATCAGCGGTCAGTGAAGAAGTTGTCAGATGTATAAAATCCAGCCAGATTTATACTCTACCCTTTATGAACTTAGCTTAAGATGTTCCAGTGACTATAAAACAGAAATGATATCATGAGAGTTTCTGGGGATTCCATACATCTGAGGAATAGTTAATACTTGTTTCCCTTTTACCTTTTTGCTTTGCTAAAAAGGATCAGTTTTCAATAAACATTAATCTGAGTTAGTGATTAGGCCAGATAAGTGTGTCACTGCCCCACACACAAGTGCAACAAATAAATGCAGTCAAGTTTTGTTGTTAATTGAGAGGTATTCTCCTTCTGTCCACTCACGCGGCTTGTTCCTGATGGAGGGTCTTTGGACCGGTGCGGGTGGATAGTGTGCTTGGGCTGCTTAATGTTGCAGAAAAGGAAATAAATTTGTCAGAGGAGTGATGTGGATGTGCAATGTATTTTTCTAGGACCGGGCCTTTGCATGTGCTCACAAAGATCAAGTAAAATACAATGATAGTGTTTTTACCAGATGTGTATGCTGGTGGGCTAAAAGAAGCATGTGCTCCGTTCGAGTTCTCCTGGTCTCCATAGTCAAAGGATTGCCTGGGTTTAGGTTTGAATTCACGCTTGGGACGGGACTCCGCTTCATTTACCCTGCATAGAATTAAAACAAATGGACAGAAATTACATCCAATTCATTTCTAAATCACTGTAAAAGCTTTCTGATTTCAGCAAAACTGAAAAAGCAGTCAATCAGAAGTTTATCAACCTTGGTAGAGGTTTTGAAACATGTAGCTTTTCCTCCCTTTAGTCAAAGAAAAGGGCACCGTTTTAAAATATAAGTCTCTCTCTTCTCATGTGGTATCTGCTCCTCTTCACGCAGCAGAATTAAACTTATTGTAAAGGAAAAATACATTTGAAAATCAACCACATCATCCCACTATTTTTTTTTTTATTCTAATTTACGCAAAAATACTTCATGTTAACTTGTTCTACTTAAATATTTTTTACTTTTCCATATTTTTGGAGGTTTGTATTTTCCCTCTAAAATCTTAAGAAGAATATAATTACTGTTCTTTAATTTTATTCTATAGTGATTATCAAAAGTATTTTCATTCCTTCAGCTTTTAAACAGGCTTGAATGCATTTAACTGAGATTCCCAGAGAAACAACACAAAGTAATGCATGACTGTGGAGGGAAAATGTACAGTTTTAAGAGGACAAAATCTTCAAAAAGTGTGACATTCACCTTTATTCCAAACTATTGAGTCAGAAATGTATATAACTACCTTTCATTTAGATAATAGTAGCATGCCTATTCTCACAGCTTCTATAAAGGATTTAGATCCAGACTTTGACTAGACCGTTCTAAAATATGACCAAGGATTGCTGGCCATAACAGGTTTTCTTTGAGGTTTGTCCCGCATTTAGTTCAATCCAGCTTCACTGTAATTACTAAAGAAAGGCATCCATAAGCATAATGCTGCCACCACCATGTTTCTTGGGGTTTGGAGTACTTTTTCCACACAAGCCATAGAGTAGAGTTCATGTCTCATCTCACCAAAGATCTTTTTTCACACGTTTTTTGGCTGTGGAAAAAGTCCTTGCAAATGTTAAAGCTTGGATTTGTCAGGATCTGTGTCCTTTCCATGCTCCTTGGGCTTTAAGTTTTCCAGAAAAATCAGGTTCTCTGAAGACAAATATTTGACACACTTTGGAGGTTTTATTTCTAAGATAAATGATAACGTAAAAAAAAAAAACTCTTTCAGATTAAAGACTTTTATCCCTGTACAACAAATTTATTTGCAAGGATTATGGGGACAAAATGGTCTCGATGAAATATATTCAGGGTAGTAAAGGTTGCTAAACAACATAGAAGCCTGCCAAAGTAACCTAATCTACTAGATCTAATGTTAAGTTGTGTCTTTAAACTAATTTTGAAATCTGTACAAAACACATAATCTAATGCCAGAGTGTTTGTGTGAAAGGTTTTAGCCTTGAAATGCTTTGCTGGGTTAGAAATCAGTTTGGTGAACTGAAGAAGAAGAAAAATAGCATTCACGTAAGTGAGTCACCACAAGGTTTGTAGACTTTCCTGAAGAACTGGGTCACAATATCAGGAAAGAGGAGTGGAGCTAAACTGGCTGAGCGGGAGCCAAGTACAGAGACTGCAGTTTTACAATTATTCCTTTTAATCTCTTTGTCAGCTTCCTTTATCATGTTAAAGTTTTCAAATAAAGTTTTATAAGTATTACAAAAAAATATTATAGCGATTTCTTTGAATATTGATGTTGTTTAGTTTTATTACATGAAAAATGTACCTGAATATAAACATTAAGGCAACAGATCAGGGTTAATAGTGTACGACTAATGAAAAAGTTGTAACACAAAAATAATCCCATATCCCATATGTTGTAAGCAACAAGGTTGCGTTGAAAGTTTATGTAGAATCTTAAAAGCCAAACAAATATGTTACTATACAATAAAACCATAATTTAATGTCTAAGGACAGGACTTTAATGAAGCAAATATACTGTTTCCAAACAACAGTGGAGGAGCTGACCTCTCTCTCAGTCTCCCTGTGACCTCCTCCAGGATCTCTGTGGCCTGCCTGTGGTACTGCAACAGGGAATCCACAAAGGCGGCCAGCTGACTCACCTGCTCCACCTACAAATGAAGTGACAGAACATTTCAAAGTGATCAAGATAAAAAGGAAAACAGTAGCAGCTCCAGATACTTCTTCAAGATATTTCTTTTCCAAGACTATGAGATCTTAGTCTCATGTGTTTATCACAAGAACCACAATGATTTCATTCACTTGGAAGAGACATAAACACAGTAAACACGAGTGAAAAATCTGGTTTGACAAGCTTTGCCTGCAGCAAGTCACCATGGAAAAAAACAGAGACGGGTCAGCTGATTAAGGCTGTCACCAAAAACCTGTTTCACTGACTGAATTTCATGTAACAGACATAAATGAAACAAAATATTTGTACTTGTATGTAGTTTATACAATTATTATTGCTTCATTCAGTCATGGAAATGTGAACATATGTGTCTTGATTAAACCATGCTCTATATCGTATTCAGAAGGGTTTGGTTAATTTGTTTTTTAATGTCATGCATTTTTTTAATGTTTAAGTTAAAAACGGTAAAGAAAACGTGCTCTGAATAAATGAAACTCATGGCTATGCTGCAGCTATAGTTGCTTCTATGAAAACAGATTATATTAAATTATCTTAGCAAATGTAAAATAATAACAGAGGTGTTTTATTTCGTAACCTGGGACACAAAAGTCTTTGCAACCCCCAACCTATTTAACTTTTCATACTTGAAAATGTCCCTATCAGGATTTCGACAATATTTTATTAATCTCAAAGGGAAATTACATTTCAGTGTAGTCCATCCAAGAAGACAAAAACACAGAAAAGAAAAAGCAAAGACATTATGCATGGGGGAACGCAGTGTCCAAGGCATCGCTGCCATCAAAGGCGCTGCCATTTTGATCCTTTGTACAGATTATAATCGCCATGTTCCAACTAAGAAGTCTAAATAAATAAATACATTAGAAATCCCTAGGACTCTAATTTACCGATTGGACTGTTTGTCCAAATTATTTTGTGGCCTAAAATCCCTCACTATTGTCAGGGTTCCTTCAAGTTTCCAACTATAAAATTTACATTTTTATTCTACTTTAAGTGTTTCTTGTAGTTTCTACATCATACTGGCCAGTTACATGAACAAACATTTATTTAATAGATTTTTGTTAAATAAATCAATATTGCACTACAATTTTGTCACTTCTAAAAAATAAATAAATGTATTACTAGTTTCATTTCTAAATATGGTAAACCTGCTCTAGATTATCCAATAACATTCAGATTATTTGACTTAAAAAAACTAAACTAAACTGCTCCCATTTAGAAATGGATCCAGTCAAAAGTCCTAGACTAGGACTTATAATCCATGAGTAAAATCAAAAGGCTAAGCTGCCTCATTAGATTGCCGGAAAAGCTCCACAGAGCTCTGCTAATGAGCTTATATTTCATTCCTGTAAGCTGAAGCGGAAATTAATCTAGAAGTTGAGGGACATTAAACTGTGAGGACTGCAGTTTGACGTCTTTGGTCTAGAGGCTACCTTTTTTAAATCAGCATAGATTTATCTGTGGAAGCAACATGTTAAATTAGTTGGACACAAAATCTGACTTTGATGTGTCAACTTAAACATGAGGAACTTCATCTTAATCTAAATAAGAAAGAAAGAAATAAAATGTATAGGGAAGCTAATAAAGACTGGCAATTCCAACATTTCTTCAAAATCTATCCTGTGCTTTCTCTAAGTTTTCCACAATTGGAAAAATTATAAAAACCCAACGGAATATTTTACCAGACAATAAAAACATCTCAGTTTATTACTTTACCTACACAATTTTGATAATAAAGCCTAATCATTTAGCAGGCTGCTTCTTGAGCTCAAACTACTTAGTTATGTTCTCCATTAAGTTTTTTGTGGACTCTTCTAAATGCCACCTAAAACTGAACATCTGCTAACAAGCTTTAAAAAAACCTAAATGGAAGCATATGTAATATCCATTTATGTGAAGAAATAAAAGTAATGATAGTGGAGACATTGCATAAACTTACATCAGTTTCCAGCAGACTATGCATGGAGCTTTCGGCGAGGTCTCTGGACTCGTGGAACTTTTCCAGGGCCACCCTAATGTCCTCATCCGGGATTTTACCTTGACGTTTCTTTTTATAATCATAGTCCAAACGGCGGCCTTCCATCTTCTTCAAGTGGTGCTGATGGTTTAAAACACATAATTAGGAAGTTGGGTGTAAAAATGTTGCATACACAGAAAAGTGCAAACCTCACAGCTTGAAGACTATCAAGCCTATGGGTGCAGAAACACATTGCATCTTGATTCTACCTGAATATCTTTGATATCCTTGTCAGCGACTGCCAGCATTGGGTCAATAAAATTGTGCTTCACATCAATATCCAGAGAGTCTTTGACCTCAGCCAGCCTCTTCATCGCATCTCCAACATCCACCAGAGCTCCACCTAAATATAAAATAGAAATTAAAAAATGTATGTCATGACTGCTCTGTGTAAATATAAAAACTGGTGGACATCAGCACTAATAATATATATATATATATCTGTTTAAACACAGATTAATCAACTTCCTCACAAATGCATAATCCTCTTCAGCAGGCGCTGAATAATGGATACATCTCAGATTCTTTCACATTTCCCTAAAATGGAATCACACACCTCATGCGTTTCATATTTATATTTTATGAGATAGATTAAATCAAACGAGCGCACAAGTCAAGTGAAAGGAAACAAATACATCTGAGATGAGTGGAATCCACTGATATCACATAAAACAAAGCTGTGCGCCCGCCTTGGAGAGTAATCTTGATTGAAGAGTGAAAGAAAGAAAACTACAGTTGAAAAGAGCACTCTAAGTTTGTGGAGGAGGGAGTGAGCACGTATGAGCAAGAGGTCTGATCAGAGGAGAACGCAAAGCTTTTGGCACACGTGCAAAACCACCCCCACGGCAGAACGTTAGGGTGGCTTCTCCAGAAATAGAGTCAAAGTTGATGGAAAAATGGAAGCAGCTAAAATGGGAAAATGGTAAGAAAGAGGCTAAAAAAAATAAATAAAAATAATCAATCATCAATACAGTATTAGCAATTATTGATTAGTATTTTTTTTATTTAGATAAGGACCAGGAGTTAGACTTTAATCTGACTTTTGATTCTTTATTCCAGTTCCTTGTCCTGTTTGACACTAAATGTGTTTGATCTAAGAGAAACTATTAATATTAATGGAAAAACTTGACTTGATTTTGGCCGAGACCGGTCCGAGCTCGGCTCAGTTAACCAGGCCGAGCTCAGTTCTAACAACCGTTTACACATCACGCTATCTCTGTTCCTCGACTCCTAGTGACGAGCTGGGGTATTACTGCCAGTATTGAAGGAGGAAATCAAGTAGTTGGAGGCGGTAATGCAAAAAAAGTTGTTTGCCAATTGCCATCAAACACAAGAAGAAGAAGATGTTCAGGAAGTTTATTACTGCTGTACTTCGGTGTTATAATTTAAAATGCCATTATTTAAAATGTTGCGTGGAGAAGATTTCGATTGTTGTTTATAGTTTTTCTTCTTCTTCTGTTTTGTGTTGGTCGTCAAGCAACTTCCGGAGGGGCATTACCGCCAACTACTGGAATGGAGTGTGAATCAGGATGTGCAGCCAGATGGAAATGACGCATTCTGCTCATGCGCTCGGTTCTCTCTGGAGAACCGAGCCAGTCCACATCTGGAACTGGTCTGCAGTTAGCGCGGTTTGGTTGTGTCTAGCTCGGTTCAGTTCAGTTTGCTTTCCATTTACACGTGATAAGTTATCTCAGTTACTGAGCTCGGACCGGTCTCGGCACGGTTTTTCAAGGGTAGTATAAATGTGGTACTTTTCTGCACCCTGGGCTGTCAGGGTTTTGGAGGAATAATACATTTTGCCAGATGCTGTTGAAGGTTCTCAGTCATCCAGGTCATAGTCATTCCGTAAAAATTCAAAAAAAAAAAAAATATCCACTGGACTTGGTTTTCAAGATTTGAAGACGTTTCGCCACCTCTCCAGGAAGCTTTCTCAATTCAAATGTCATTTGAACATATACACACACACATATATACACACACACAAATACAGACAGTCCGTGTTTGTATTCAGACACATTTCAAACTATCCTTTATCTGTCCCTCAGCAATGCGGTCCATTTTTATGACATTTGAATTGAGAAAGCTTCCTGGAGAGGTGGCGAAACGTCTTCAAATCTTGAAAACCAAGTCCAGTGGATATTTTGTTTTTTTTATTTTTACGGAATTTTGCCAGATTTATAGAAAGAAGAGCTGCGCCATACAAAGTGGGATGGATGCTGTGTCTCTAAATCAGACCAGGTTTTTTCAAAAAGATTGCCACTTATCAAGTTATGTGGTTGAGCTGGGGTGGCCGGAGGCTGGAGTAAAAAAAAAAAAAAAAGGTGATAGACGATGAAAAAAGCCAACTGTATTTTATTTTCCTTTTCTAGGCTTACATGAAATTCTCACTCGTTAATTGTTAATCTGAACATAAAATCTCTCTAGAAGAAGTATCAGGGTTAGGCACCTCCTCTGAGTTTCTGGAGTCCTGTTCTACCCACCACAGCCCAAGTGTTTGAGGTTGTTTTTGTATGAGTGTAAGAAAGGTTTTAAAGCAAAACAACAAAGATGCCTCGGTTTACTAAATAATCCTCATTTCAATTTAATTAAAGGTGAGAAAATGAGTTTTTTAAAATCTGGTGAAAAATACAGAAACTTCATGAAAATCCACAGAAAAAAAATACATGACCCTCTTTGGCCGACGAGGTTAGCAGTTGTTCCGAGGTACTTCGTCTAACAGCTAGATAATGCCACATGCTAGCTCTGCTAATGAAATGTGAATATTTTTTGTGAGCAACTGAAAAAGGAAGGTTAAGCTCCACTATCAGTAAAAGATTATTATTGAACCTCCTGGACAACATAAGCAACACCAGCAATAGCTAATAGCTGCAAAATAAGCTTTTATCTCTCTTTTTCCTCTCTGTTCTACTGTGGTGTAACATCAGGCAGGAAAATGTTAATTTGATGCCTCAGTTAGCTACTAAACAACACTGCATCCAAACAAACCGGTCCTGCCCACCGTGACACTAGTTTCAAAGGTTTTGGAGGCTAATGTTGCAAATACTAAAAGAGGTTATGGTGGAGTCAGACAACAGCCTGAATAAAAAAAA